GGGGTGCGCCACCGCGTGTTGGCTGGGAAAAAGCCTCATCTCCCTCCTGTGTGATGCTTGCTGCTCGAGGTGCAGGGTGCTGTGCCTCTGAAATACAGTTGCCCAGGTGGGACAGAGGCGATGCCTGAGCAGGGCTGTGTGCACTTCCCTGGGGGGGTGGGTGACCCCCCCCCCAAGCGCCTTATTCCCAAGGGAGACCTGGTGTCCGTGCCAGACTAGGGATGTCCTCCCTGCCCCCCCCGCTGCTCCCTTGGCCAGGCATGGATGGGGCAAGGAGTGGTGCCTGGGTGGTGGCGGTTGGGGTGGGTGGCCACGGTCCCCTTGCCCACCCCACATCTGCTGCTCCCCTCCCCACACACACTGAGGTCTCCATCAAGCACAGCGGAAAAGGATTTTAATTACCTTTCAGGAAAAACAACAATTAGAGAAAATAACAGCTTCTCGCCTCCCTGCCTCCACCTCCCTGCGCCAGGCTGAGCAGGCACCACAGCAGCCGGCCACACGCTGCTACCCGACACAACCTGCCTCTCCCAGCCGTACCGGGGCAGCCCCAGCCCCGTAACCCCCGCTACCCAGGGGCTGCCCTGGGGGGTACCGTCTCCCCTCTGTGCCCCCTCCCGTAGGCATCTGGGGTGCCCGACATCCCCTGGGCTGGCGCAGCAGGGTTCACTGGGGGTGGCTGGTTGGTACCTTGGCACAGCCCCCCCTGTCCGTGCCCACCCTACAGCTGGCACGGGGGCCATGCAGTAGCGGGTGTCCCCTTTTCCCTGCTCCAGGCCCACCTTCCGGTACTTCACCTGGCCCACGTGCCTGCTGGGCATTGCGGGCTGCTGCGTCATGATGTTCCTCATCAGCCCCGTGTCGGCCTCGGCCAGCCTGGGCTTCCTCCTCCTCCTCCTCCTCGCTCTCCACTACCTCTCGCCCAGCAGCACCTGGGGCTACATCAGCCAGGCCCTCATCTTCCACCAGGTGAGCCCTGTCCTCTGCTCTCCTCAGGGTGGTGTCCCTGTGGCGCCTCTGTCCTGGCTAGCTTGTCCTTGGGGCTGGCATCCCCATGCGTGGTTTGTTGGGAAGGAGAGTTCCTCACCTGCCGCCTTCCCTCCCTCCAGGTGCGGAAGTACCTGCTGATGCTGGACGTGCGGAAGGACCACGTCAAGTTCTGTGCTGCTGATGGTGCAGACCCCACGGGGCAGCGCCCGCCTCATCGACTTTGTCAACGACCTCAAGAAGAGTGGCCTCTACGTCCTGGGCCATGTTGAGCTGCAGGATTTGGGTGAGGGTCTGCGCTGTCCCTGGCGCTGGCGGTCTCTGCCCCTCACTGTGGTGCCGGGGGTGCTTCTGGAGTCCCGGGGGTGATGCTGCTGCCCAGCTCCCGGGTGGGCACAGCAGGGGAATGCCAGCATTTTGGGCACACCTTGTGGCACCTTGGGCTTGGCTTGGTATGGGGGACGTAGGTGGCTTT